GAGCCCCCCCCAACACTAACACTCCCCACGCCCACCTGCCCCAAAGCCCTACAAGCTCAGAGTGCCCCAGACTCCCTCTCTCCCACGCCAGGGACCCTCAGAACCCCTCAGCGTACACCCCGACTCCGCTCCCCCGCGCCCCCCAGGCCCCGCGCCCGAGGGGCTCCCCTCCAGCCTCCCCCGCGGTGGAGCTGCCGGCCCCGCAGCCGCCTCCCCCTCCCCTCCGCGGCTGCCCCCGGCCCGGCCCGGCGCAGCCCCCACACCTCCTCCACATCGCGCTCGACGGGGCCGCCAACTTCCACCTCCAGCACCGCCGCCATCTTGCCCCGCCCCCCCAGCGGCCAGCTCCTTCCGCCGCCGTCCGCCAATCACCGGGCGAGCCGCCGCCCTTGGGCCAATCTCTGCGCGCGGCGCTGCCCCGGCGGCCAATCGGGAGCGGGGAGGGGCGGGACGCGTGCCAGGCGCGGGGGAGCCGTCCCGGCCGGGCCCGCCTGCCCTTTGCAGCCCCGCGGGCTCGGTGCCCCCGGGCCGCCCGCCCGCCCTTCCCGCCGCCGCCTCGCTGCTCCGCACCGTCAGCAACGCCGCCCGCGCGGGGCCCTGCGCGGCCCGCAGACTACGAGTCCCGTCAGGCCCCGCGGCCAGGCCGGGCTGGGGACGGCGGGGAGCGGGAGGCGGGGCCGTGCGGTTCGGGCGGGAGATTCGGGCTTTGGGATCGGTGCGTTGAGGGGCCTGGGGGCGTTGGGCTGCGGGGGCACTGCCGCGGGGGGATGGCGTGGAGGGGCTGCGGGGCACAGCCGGGGTTTGATGGGGCCGGGAGAGGGGTCGACGTGGAGGACTGGGGGGCTACTGCGATGAATAGCTCTGGGGGCGTTGTTTGTGTGTCTGGGAACACGAGGGGGTGGAACTGGAGGGGCTGAGGGGAGCTGTGGGGAAGGATTGGGGGGTACTGGAGTGACAGAATGGGGCTGAGGCTTGTGGGCTGGATGTGGGTGGCACCCGGGGATGGGGGATTGTGGGTTGAGCAGCCGACACAGGGGTGGCCGAACAGGGACGGAGGTTGTGAGCCAGATGTAGGGGTTACTGCTGTGGTGGGGCGGGTCTGGGGGGCACTGAGGCAGTGAGATGGGACTGGGGCGCACTGGAACTGCTGAGGGCTGGGAGCTGCTGAATAGTGCCAGAGCTGGGAGACACCCGAGCCCATCACAGACCTGTCTTCTTTCCCCGCTAGGCACTGGAGGGATCTGAGGGGAATGTGTGTCCTAGCAGGACACTGACTCTAGAGGATCCCGAATGGCTCCAGTTAAAATCAGCTACGTGGTGTCCTTCTCCTCACAGGTAGCTGGGGGTTTCCTCCAGGGGGGCTCGTTCCCCCTGAGCTGTTGGGTTCTCTGAAGAGGCAGGCGGGGGTGCGACAGGGTGCAGCACCAGCTTTCCTTGTTAGGCTGAAGGGCAGGAATTTCAGGCAATTCTCAAAGCGGGGTGTTGTTCCTTGGGTTACCAGGGAATTCCCTGCTTCTCCCCTGGGCCCAGAGCGAGCTGGAGCCGGAGGGGAAGGCATTCAGGGAGGGAGCCACGTCATGTCCCTGCTTTGTGTGCAGGACCCCAAGTACCCGGCGGAGAACCTGCTGAGTGAGGGCAGTGTCCGGCCCTGGCTCGGCTGCCCCCAGGACCGCAGCACACAGCTGAGCGTGGAGCTGCAGCTGGAAAGAGCCAGTCCCATCGGCTACGTGGACATTGGTATGTCCCCGTCCCCGTGCAGGAGGCAGGGCTGTGCCCCCGATGGGCTCAGCAGCTCTGACCCCCCTGTGCTTCCCACTTTTCCCCAGGGAACTACGGCTGCGCCTTCCTGCAGATCGAGGTGGGACGTTCCTCGTGGCCACGTGACCAGCCCTATCTCACCTTGGTGCCCACCGTCACGCTGATGACGCCGGACGACTCAAAGCTGGGCCGGAATCGCTGCGGGGTCCGGATGTTTAAGGAAGGTAAAGATCGATCCGAAGGAAAAAGGCACAGGGAAGAGCTATGGCCCTGGTGGTGGGCTGGCTGGGGGGGGGCTGGCAAAGGGATGGGGCTGGCTATGGGGTTGGCAAAGGGGCAGGATGGGGGGGCTGGTGGGGGGGGCAGAAGGGGACAGGTAGACCAGGGGTCATGGTTGTCCTTGGGAGAGCCGTACCAGCTCTGCTCCCCTACCCCAGCCTTTCTTGTGCCTGTAATCTCCCAGTTGTTGCTGTTTCCTGGGTGTCACAGTAACAGGGTGACAAGCAGAGATGGGAGTAGTGCCAGGACAGTGGTCCCTGCTGCGTCCCCTCCACCCCAGGTGCTCTCCCCCACAGCAGACTTCCCGGTGCCGGCGGTAGGGCAGCACTGGGACCGCCTGCGGCTCACCTGCAGCCAGCCCTTCAGCCCGCGCAGCCGCTTCGGGCTCTCCTTCATCCGCCTGCGCACGCCACAGGAGCAGGAGCCTGAGCCCCCCCGGCCACCCCTGGGCCTGGTAGGTGCCTCTCACACCTCCGTGTACTGCTGTCCATGGGGAGGCTGTGGGGATGGGGCAGCTCCTCCTCGGGTGCCACTCGTGCCCCACGGAGAGCACAGGAGAATGCTCGCGGGGCTGAACCAGGGGCTGTGCCAAGACAGGGGCAGAAGGTTCCTGCTTGATTGCCTGGGGTGTCCCCTTGTCCCACAGGAGGATGCTGAGCCCTCAGACAGCCCCTGGTGCTCCAGCCCTGACTTCCACCAGACATTTTTTCCCAAACCGCACTCGTAAGTAGCCTGTCTGATCCATCCTCCCATCCTCTCCCTGTGCAGCGGGGCCTGGAGCCCCTCGAGGTGCTGCCTCGGAGCCCAGAGCCCTGGCTGTCCCCTCCTGCGAGCCTGACCCTCCCTGTCCCCAGGAGATCCAGCGCAGAGGAGCAGCTGAGGAGCCGCCTGTGGCAGCTGGAAGGGGGTGCTGGGAGCCCGGCCTGCCTCAGCCGCCCGGCCCGGATGGTGCTGTTGGCAGCGCGGAGTCGGGCACCGAGGCCAGGGGGTGACCCAGAGCTGCCGGCCAAGGACCTGGGAGGTCCCGTGGTGCCAGAGGGTGAGGCTGTAACAACTGTGTCCTGGGCTACATCCCCAGCACTGTGGGCAGCAGGGTGCAAGGTGGGGGTTCTGCCCCTCTGCTCCGCTCTGCCTCTGCAGTGCTGCCTCCAGCTGTGGGGCCCCCAACATCAGAAGGACATAGAGGTGCTGGAATGAGTTCAGAGGGGGCCACAGAGGTATTCCAAGGTCTGGAGCACATCTCTTTTGGAGCCAGGCTGAGAGAGCTGGGGGTGTTCAACCTGGAGAAGAGATAGCTCTGAGAACTGAGAGGCCCTTCCAGGGCCTAAAGGGGCTCTAAAGAGCTGGAGAGGGACGTGGGACAAGGGCCTAGAATGGTAGAAGGGGGAATGCCTTCACACTGACAGAGGATGCTGCTAGATTGGATAGTGGGAGGAAATTCTTCCCTGTGAGGGTGGGGAGGCCCTGGCACAGGTTGCCCAGAGAAGCTGTGGACTCCCTGTCCCTGGAAGTGCTCAAGGCCAGGTTGGATGGGGCCTGGAGCAACCTGTTCCAGTGGAAGGTGTCCCTGCCCATGGCAGTGGGTTGGGACAATGTGAGCTTTAAGGTCTCTTCCAACCCAAACCATCCTGTGTCTCCATGGTTCCTGCCCGCTTGCTGTTTCCCAGGCTCTGCACAGGACATCCCTGCAGCCTCCCCAAGCACTTGCAAGCAGCCAGACAGGTGCCGCGCTCCCAGCCCTGCTGGCAGGTAATCCCTCAGGTCACTGTTTTCCTCCTGCCCTCGCCCTGGTGATTTACCACTCCCAGTCCCAGAGAGCTCTGGGTACAGCCCTTCACTCCTTTGGGCTGGCAGAACGTGGCACAAGGTGCCTTCAGGGTATGACCGCTCTGCAGGGCTCCAGCTGCTGCCTCAAGGCCACCCATGGTCAGAGGAAGAGCCCGAACCCACGGCCACCGAGAGAGACGGGCCAGGAGGAGGGGCAGGGGACAGGCCAGCGGTGACAGGGAGACGGGCGTCTGCCCCATCTGCTCAGGTGGGTGCTTGGAAGGGGTGTCCTCTGGTGGCGAGGGGACACCAAGCAGCAAATGGGGACAGCAGTGGCAGTTCCATAGCTGAGACACCTCCCTCCTGCTGGTGCCCAGGCACCAGCCTGGTGACACCACAGTGCATCCCAGTCTATCTCTGCCATAAGAACCCTCAGGGAGGGTGTCAGCCCAAACCCCGTGTCATCCCAACACCAGTGAGCCTCTGACAACCACATCACCTCTCCTTTCCACAGGCCGCTTCCTCCTGGATGTGCTCCCCACGCACGCCTCCCACTGCGGGGAAGAGCCCACTGCAGCCTGGCCCTCCTTGTCCCCTGACACCTGGGTGTCCTGTCCCATTTGCCAGCTGCCTTTCAGCATGGCAGAGGTGGAGCAGCATGCCAGCACCTGCGGTGAGACGCTGTCCTCATCCCACCACCTGCAGTAGGACAGCGGAGCCGGGGACAAACCTTGTGTCACCACCCCTGGGGGCTGAAGCCACAGTGCTGGACCCAGCTGTGGTGCAAGGAGCGAGGGGCAGAGACACAGCAGCTCCAGGACGTTTGTGGCAAGACTGGTGGGGCGGATGGAGAAGGTGTTTCCAGCCCCTTGGCCGGGTTTGTTGGGGGGGGGTGGCTTAAGGGGCCTGAAACACTGTAATGGCAGGAGTTGCTGCTGGAGAAGAATAAATTAAAGGAAAGAAGGAGGGGAGAGAGAAATGCTCTGTGACTGCCCAGTGCCACAGCAGGTTCCCTGGGTGAGCATTCTGCCTTGGGGCACGCTGTGCAGCTGGTGGGGACAGTGAGGGGACAAGGAGGAGGTCACGCTTTTTCTCCCCTCAAGCCCCACCTGGAGTTCCAGCACGTGTGGCCCAGGGGAGGAGGAAGCCAGTACCCCTAAAGCAGGAGAAAAATACAATTTATTTACAAGTAGAAACATTTAAAAATGTTGCCTCGGCTTCCCTGGGAGCTGCAGGAGGGCAGGGGCAGGTGCGGGAGTCCCACACAGGGGGAGCAGGGGAGGCGAGGGGGGGGTCAAGGGATGCTATGTCTTACCTCTGTCACTGGGGCTGCAGGATATCCCTGAGGAGGGCTCAGACCCTCCAGCCCCAGCCTGGTGCCAGCCCCTGCACCCACGGGTGTTTCCAGCCCTCACTCCCTGTCATGCCCTTGCCTTGGGTCTCGGGAGGGTTTAGGGTGACAATGGGTGCAGGAAGGACACGGGGGCCCTGCCGTGCTCAGGGCAGCCCCGTGGTTGTCAGTGGGACGTGCAGGGCAGCGTCACACGGGTGGCCCCATCTGTTTCCCCTCGGTGCTGCTGGGCCCCAGGGATGTTCTCGCAGCACTGGGGGGAAAGGGAGAGGCAAGGGGGTGCAGGTAGGGGGCCAGGGCAGAGCCTGCAACACAAGGACTGGGGAAACCTCAGAATTTTGTGTCCTTGAGCGATCGGCGACTGGCCTGGAAGGGAGAGAGCAGAGAGGGGACGTTAGTGACAGTGTGACCAGGGCCCTGGGGAGAGCATGTGCTCAGAGGCCCACCCGGGGGTATGGGCAGTGCCTACCTTGCCCTTGGGGGACTTGGCGGTGGCTATGCGGGGCGAGCGGCGGGTGCTGCCGCTGGGGGTGTTCTTGGGAGTGCTCTTGCGGGCGGCTGCCCGGCGCAGCAGGCGGTTCCCCAGCTTCTTGGGGGTGGTGAGGATGCTGAACGCCATCGACTGGCGCCTCTGAGCCTGCAGGGGAGGGGGCAGGACCACCAGCTCAGCTCAGGACAAGACAGGGAGGTCCCTCCCAACCCCTCCTTTTCCCTCTGGAGCTCACCTGCTTGGCGGGGGTCGGCTGTTCGCTCTGCCGGCTGCCCTGGGAGCCGCGCCGCTCACTGCGGTCCTGGGCGGTCTGGGGCCGTGGGAAGCAGCTGGTTGGCTTCTTGGACTAGAAAAGAAGGGACCAGCTGGGACTGTCATCCGGGGGTCACCCTGCTGGGGAGCTGGCAGCAATGAAGGAACCGAGGGGCTGCAGGGAGGGGACAGGAGCGAGGGCAGCAGCACCCAGGGAAGGCAGAAGGCTCAGCCTTTGAGTGGCCTTGGGAGCACGTGGAATACTGGACACAGCACTGGATGCTGGGAACACAGGGCACTGGAAGCCAGGATCATTGGGAACATTTGGAGCACTGGGAACATCTGGGAATACTGAGAGCATTTGGAGCACTGGGCAACAGGAGCGGTAGGGGCACTGAGAGCACAGGAGCACTGGGGTGCCACCCCCAGAACTGCAGCAGCCCCCTCAAAACCTGGAGAACACCTGCAGCCGTCCCGAACCCTGTGTCCCCTGGTCCCCAGCAGGGTGCTGCGGTGGGGGCTGGGCTGGGCTCACCTGGGGGGTGTCGGGGCCCTGGTGGGTCTCATCTGAGAGGCGCTTCCTCTGCTGCCGGGTGGTGATGCCGGCCAAGGCGTGGCCCAGGGTGCTGCGCCGGGTGCCCACCCCACTGCCGGTGGGGATGATCTGTGAGGGCTGCATGCTGGCGCGTCGCAACGTCTCCTTAGGGTCCCCCATCTTCACCTCCTCATCCGTTATGGTTCCCAAGGAAGTGGAGGGCTGGGGAGGGGGCACAGAGATGTTGTTGAGGGGCACTGCCCGTCCCCAGACCTGCTCCCAAACCCCACTTCTGGGGAAGGGACCACCCGCCCTCCGTGTCCCCCCCGTACCCTGCTCTCCAGGGGGTAGCAGGTCTTCAGGTGTGGGGGGCAGGCCTGGTTCCGCCGCTGCAGCTCTGCAATGCGGTTCCAGTCGTCCGGCTGCTCCGGCTCGTCCTGGCACGTGCCCAGGTAGATGCTGTTCCGGCCTAAATGCAAAGCAGGGAAGGCTGAAAGGAGGGTCCCAGATAAGAAGTGACCCCCCCCAAGGCAGGTGGAACCCCACAGCCAGCAGCCCAGGTGCCCACCCTGCCCACACACACCGAGGCTGGAGCTGCTGGTCCCCTGCAAGCGCAAGGATCTGCGAGTGACTGGCCGGTACCCGGGGAGGCCCAGCAGTGCTGAATTGCCAGGGGTTTCCTCCGGGGAGGAGGTTTCCAGCTTGACAAGAGTTTCCCGGGAGGGAAAGCTGGTGAGGGAGCGGGTGGAGGCAGCTGAGCGCAGCCGTCTCTTGGCAGGGGAAGCGCTCGGGGACTGAGCTGACGGGATGCTGTAGAAGGAGAGGTTGACGCAGTCCAGTTCCTCAGACTTGGCCTGTTTCTGAGAGAGAAAAATCGAGAGATCAGGGAATCACAGATGGGTTTAGGCTGGAAGGAACCTTAAAACTCATCTGGTTACAACCCCCTGCCATGGGGAGGGACACCTTCCACTAGAACAGGTTGCTCCAAGCCCCATCCTTGAACACTTCCAGGCGTGGGGCAGCCACAGCTTCTCTGGACAACCTGTGCCAGGGCCTCCCCACCCTCACAGGGAAGAATTTCCTCCCAATATCCAATCTAGCAGTGTCCTCTGTCAGTGTGAAGGCATTCCCCCTTCTCCTGTCATTCTAGGCCTTTGTCCCAAGTTCCTCTCCAGCTCTTTAGAGCCCCTTTAGGCCCTGGAAAGGGCTCTCAGTTCTCCTCAGAGCCATCTCTTCTCCAGGTTGAACACCCCCAGCTCTTTCAGCCTGTCTCCATAGCAGAAGTGTTCCAGCCCTCTCAGCATCTCCACAGCCTCCTCTGGACCCACTTCAACAGCTCCACATCCTCCTCATGTTGGGACCCCAGAGCTGAAGGCAGCACTACAGGTGGGGTCTCACCAGAGCCAAGCAGAGGGGCAGAATCCCCACCTTATGCTGCTGGGAATCAGCCCAGGACAAGGCTGGATTTTAGGCTGCCAGTGCACGTTGTCAGGCCACGTCCAGCTATTCACTCCCCAGCAGCCCAAGTCCCCCTGCAGTGCTGCTCCCCCTCCCTCATTCCCCAGCCCGTGAGGGCCCCCCGCTCACGTTTGTCATGGTGATGTTGATGGTGGTGCGGCGCCGGGCCGAGCGGGTCTTGCACCCGGATTCGAGCGAGAGGCTGCCCAAGGAGTCGGTGCTGCTCTCCAGCTTGGACCGCGTCCCGCTGGGGATGGGGGTAAAGTAGAGGCTCTCCAGGGACTCCACCTCCCGAGGCAGCCGCTGGGACACCAGCGACTCTTCCCTGTCCAGTGGCACTGCCGAGGCTTCCGAGCTGCTAGCCTGCCTGCAGAGACGAGGGGTGAGCGTAGCACCAACAGGCTCACCCAAGCCCTGCGGAACAGCGAGCAAGAGGACAGCGGGTTTTTGGGGTGCTGGCAGCCGGATGGGCTGGTACCTGGTAGAGTTGAGCGGCTGTGCCTCATCGAGGCTGTCAGTGCTCTGGTCCGCCAAGTTCTGGTGACAAGTCTCCTGGTCCTTTAGTGAGGTGCTCTTCACCTGGAACTTCCTGAGCTCCTGTAGCTGCCGTTCAGCAATCTCCACCTGGGTGTGAAGCAGAGAGGGATGGATGGACCCTCCAAGTGAGGTGGCAGAGGAGGAGGGTGAAGCCCCACTGCACCGTGCCTACCTGAGCCTCCAGGCTGCGGACCTGGCTGGTAAGGTTCCTGCAGCTCAGCTCCGACTCCTTGGCCTGCAGGATGCTCTGCTGTAGCTCCTTGGCCAGCCTGTCTGACTCGCTCCGGAGCTCCGTGTTCTCCTTCTGCAGCCGCTCCATGGCCTTCAGCTTCTCTGCCAGGTCCTGGTTCTGCTGCTTCTTGGCGTCATAGTAAGTTTTTGCCTTCTCCATCTAGGATGTCGATGAGAGGAATCCTGTCAAGCTTCCCAGCAGTGCCAGGGACAGTGGGGCCATGCCAGCCCCCGGCATACCTGCCCTTTGTAGTGCTCAGCTGCCTGCTCCTTCTGGGCGAGCTGCCCCTGCAGCTCTGCAACCTTCTCCTGCTGGCGGGTGGCCACTGCCTGCAGCTCCTCTTCCAGCGCCTGCAGGCAGGGAAGAGACTGGATCAGAGGCTCTCCACACTCTGGGTGAGCCCCCTGGGCAGCACCAACAGCTCCAGGGCTGCCCAAGAGCTCAGCCCCCAGGTTTTTGGTCCCTCTTTACCTTAACTCTCTGCTGCTGGGTCAAGGTGGCCTTCTCGTGCTGAGTCAGCTTTTTATTCAGCTCCTCCACCTGGAAGAACACAGCCTGGTCAGACCAGCTCCAGGCACTAAACTCCAACAGCCCTCCCACGGAGGAACACATCTCTCCTCTCCAGCCAGCTCCAGGGCAGGACAAGGAGGATTCCTGCCCCAGGGGGATTGTTGAGCAGCACCCACCACCAAGAAGATCCCAGGACACTACAAAGTGACAGCCACCCCACGTTAGTCCTTACAGGGAGGAGGCTGGCACTGCCCAAGTGTAAGGAGCAGCCACGTGCTGGAAGCAAAGCCTCTTTCAGTACCCAGTGCCCCAGCAGCCATCTCTGCTGCCAACTATTTGCTGTCAGCTGCCAAACCTCAAGCCACGCAGTTCAAGGGAAGCCCATGCCCAGTCTGGGGAAGAATTCCACCTCCAAGGATTCAAGAGGGGAGAGCTGGCAGCTGTGGGATGTGACACCATGGACGTGCCAAGGGCCAAGGGACCCGGTCTAGGCCTCTGGCCACAGCGGGAGCCCTCCATGGCATGGATGGGAGGCTCATAAATCTTCTACCTGGGCACCTGCAACCTGGAGTCCCACAGGTTATCCAGCACTCCTAGCACAGGTAGATGGTTGGTGAGTTCTGGCCTGGACATGCTCTCCCTGCTCCAAGGGGTGCTTGGGGAGCCCCCAGCCCTCTGGTTACAGTTACAAGGCCTATGCAGAGTTCCTGGGCAACTCAGGCTGGGACTAGACAGGGAAACGGGGCTTTTCCAGCATTATTTCTCAAGTGTTAACTCCCACCATGTCCAAGATTGATGCTACTGGAATGCCTCCTATCTCTGGCCACCTCTGGACCACGCTGTCTACCAGCACAGCTGTTCCTATCGCCTGGGCAAGAAGCTGAACCTCAGTTAAAGAGAGGGGGGGAAAATGGGACATGTAGAAGGAACAGGGTTTTGCAGCTGCCTCCAAATCCTCTCTATCTGAGGACAAGGCATCACAGGAGTGATGGTCCTGCGTTGAGGAGCCCTGGATGCCCCTGGCAGGCACTCACTGCGTGTGCTGCCGTGGGGCGCGTGAGAAGCTGTGCCAAGTCGTGGGCACCACTGTGAGCGGGCAGGTGGCAGGTTGGGACCCCAGTTCCTACTTCCCAGGGGTGTAGGTGCCCAGAGACCTGAAGCCAACTGGCCCACGGCTGGGTCCCCACTGCAAACGGTTCAGGAGAGGAGAGGGTGGCTCCAGTGGGAAGCGGCAGCAAGGAAGGCTGTGCACTGTCACCGTTTGAGCAGCCAGCACTTGGCATGCGTTACCTGCTTAGCCTGGTCTTTCCGAAATACCTCCAGCTGTTCCACCTGAGGGCACAAAAGGCAGAGGTGAGCATATGGCTGGCACACACCAGGCTGCTTTTCATAGAATCACGGAATCGTTCAGGTTGGAAAAGCTCTCTGAGACAATCGAGTCCAACCACTCCCCCAGCACTGCCACCACCAAACTGTGCCCCTAAGTGCCACATTCATAACATTTGTTATATCCCTCCAGGTGTGGGGACTCCCCCACTGCCCTGGGCAGCCTGTGCTAGAGCTGGACAACCCTTTCAGAGAAGGAATTTTTCCTAATATCCAACCTGAACCTTCCCTGACGCAACTTGAGACCGTTTCCTCTTGTCCTGTCACTTGTTATCTGGGAGCAGAGCCCAACCCCACCTGGCTCCACCCTCCTTTCAGGGACTTGCAGAGAGTGAGAAGGTCCTTCCTGAGCCTACTTTTCTCCAGGCTGAGCCCTCCCAGCTCCCTCAGCCACTCCTCATCAGTCTTGTGCTCCAGACTCTTCCATAGCTCCACTGCCCTTCTCTGGAAACACTCCAGCACCTCAATGTGACAGTCCCTTTCACAACTGGGAGCTCGTCCCAGCCCCCCAGTCCCCAAACTGATCAGGCCGTGGATTCAAGGGTGTGCAGAAGACCAAACACACCCCTTTTGCAGGAGGACTCCCTTGCCCACAACCCACCTGCTGGGAGCAGAACCCCTACCTGAGCTGTCAGTCTGTGCCTCTCCTCCAGCAGCTTCTTCCTCTCCTCCAGCAGCTTCTTCCTCTCCTCCAGCGCTGCAGCTTTGCTGCTCTCATACTCCTTACTCATCTTCTCCAGCTTCTGCGCCGCCTCCTCAGCCTCCTTCCTGCTGACGGTCACCAGCTCCTCGGACGCCGCCCGCAGCCGCTCCAGCTCCTGCACGTGCCGCTCCCTGGCCTGGCCCAGTTCTGCCTCGAGCTGCTGCCGCCCCTGGCTCCGGCTCTCGCTGAGCCCCTGGTTCTCCTCGGCCAGACGAGCGTTGGCCTGTTGCAGCCCCGCCAGCTGTGCCGCCGCCTTCGCCGCCTCGGCCCGCAGCTGCTGAATGGCCCGGTCCTGCTCCGCCGAGCGCTCCCGCAGCGACAGTGCCTCGGCCGCCTCCTGCTTGGCCTGGGCCAGCTCAGCCTGCAGCGCACCCGTGGCTTTCATCCTCTGCTCCAGGTCCTGGCGGTGCTGGCTTTCCAGGGAGGCACGCTCGGCCTGGAGCTGCTGGCAAAGGTGCTTCAGTGCCGGCAGCTCCCCAGCGAGTGCCTGGGCACTGTCGAGCTCCTGCTGCAGGGCGGCCAGGAGCTGCTCCTTCTGCTGGCACTTGTCCTGGCAGACCTTCGCCTCCTGCCGCAGCTCATCCTCCCGCTCGCTCTGGCAGTGGCGGTCCCTCTTCAGGGCCTCGATGGTCATTCGCTGCTTCTCCATCTCCTCCTGGCAACGCTGCACCTCCACCTTCATCAGCGAGCACCTCTCGGCCGCGCGGGAGGCAGCGGTGGCCATCTCCGTCTGCAGCACCCGCAGCCTCTCCTCCAGCTTCTTGCTCTTCTCTGACTCGGCCAGGATCAGGCGCTTCAGCTCCTTGCTCTCCCCCTCCTTCTCCGTCACCTGCCGATGGAGAATGGAGACCTCGTGCTCCAGGCTGCCGATCAGGCTGTTCTTCCTCTCCATCTCCTGGACGCACTGGGACACTTGCTCCTTCCAGCTCTCCTTTTCCTGCACGGCGGAGCGGAGGGACACCAGCTCCTTCTCTGCGCTCCGCAGCCGCTCCATGGTGCCTTCCAGCTCCTTGGATTTGAGCTTCTCCTGGGAGAGCTGCTGGGAGACCCCCTCCAGCGCCTCGGCAGCTCTACGGGCATCCGCCTCCAGCCCAGCCACGCGCTGGGCCGCAGTTTGCTCTGCCATGGCCATCTTCTCCTGCAGGGAGGAGACCTCAGCCCTCAGCTTCTGCTCCTCGCTCTCCTTCTCCTTCACCCATGCCTGGGTGCTGGACAGGTCAGCCTGGAGGGCAGCCAGTCGCTCCTGTTGCTCTGCAGCCAGGCGCTCTGCCTGGGCCTCCAGCGCAGCCACCTTCTCCTGCTCGGCCTGCAGCTGCTGGCAGACCTGGCCATGCTCCCGGCTCAGCGCCCGGACCTCCTCCTCCAGCCGCACGCGCTCTCTGTCCTCCCCTCGGGCAGCAGGAGAGGCTCCCATCGGCTTCTCCCGGCTCTCCTCCAGCACCTGGTGCGCAGCCAGCTCCTCGACCCGCTCCTGTGGAGCCTGCTCCCGGCTCTGTACCAGCTGCTGTCTCTCCGCCTCCAGCTCAGCGATCCTGGCCAGGTTGCCCTCCAAGCAGTCAGCTGCCCGCCTCTTCTCATCCTCCAGGATGCCCTCAGTGTTCCGCAGGGATTCCTCCAGGAAGAGCAGCTGCTCCTGCAGACGGCTGTTTTCCCGGGCCAGCTTCTCCCTCTCAGCCAGTCTCTGCTGGCTCTCCTTTAGCCGAACCTCCAGCTCCCGCACCTGGACTTTCAGTGCCTCTGCTGCCACTCCCTGCTGCTGCTGAGCACTCAGCTCCAGGATCTGGGCTTCCAGCTTGCTGACCTTGTGGCTCAGCGCAGCCTTCTCCTCGGCCAAGGCGGCCTGGCTGGCACCTGTGGCCTGCAGCTGGCTGCTCAGGGATGCGTTGGCCTCCCGCAGCTGCTGCAGCTGCTGCAGGGCAGAGTCCCTCTCCTGCAGGGTCTGCTCATGCTGGACACTGAGGGCAGCCAGCTGCCCGGCCTGCCCCTCAGCATCCCGTGCCTTCAGGTCCTGCTCCAGCCTCTCTTGGGCCCGGTGGCTCTCAGAGAGGGAGCTCTGGAGGCTGGTGACAAGGCTGCTCAGCTGCTGCTTCTCCTCCTCGAAGCGGCCACGTTCGGACTGCAGGGCTGCCTCCCGCAGCTGCTTCTCCTCCTCCAGCCGCAGGACCGTGGCCTGGAGCTCTGCTCCTTTGGTAGTGAGGCTGGACACCTCCTGCTTCAGCTCCTCCAGCTGGCAGAGAGAAGACGGGGAGGACAAAACATGCACCCCCCCAAGGTGTTACTCAAGCTGCAGCCAACGTGCTCACCAGAGACCCACATGCTGCATCCCAGTGGGAGCTGCCCAACATCTGTCTTCCAGCATCCCCAGTACACCCCAGCACACCTTGCTTTCCCCTTAGCCTCGTGCCACTATGCTCCTTGGAACCAAACACTTTTTCTCACCATGCAGGACCCACTCCATTCACAACAAAGCCATGCTATGGGAGGCTGGGGGAGCATCAGGTTCCTTGGAGCAGATACAGCCCAAAAGGGGCTCTCCCAGAGTGCTCAGCCCCGCAACCCCCACCAGCAGGAGAGGGCAGCCAGCTCTGCCTCACGTGGCTTTGCCATGCATCCCCAGCATCCCCTGCTCTCTCCAGCTGGAGGAGCTTTCCATTCAAGCCCTTGCTGCCAAGAGCCCCAGTGTACCTTCAGAATGTCCCCCATGACTTCTCCCTTCTCCTGGCTGCTGCACTCCTCCAGCTTGGCCAGCTGGTCTTCCAGCAGAGAAATCTTTCCCTGGAGAATCTCAATTTTCTCTTCCGAAGATTTCTGGGGACAGAGACATGGGACTGAGCACAGTGGAGGCAGAAGGAACAGGGAGAAGCTTCCACAGGAGCTGGCAGTTGCACAGCTCCTCCCCGTGTCCTGGCACGGATGGGTAAGAGGCTCCCAGCCACTCCACCCTGCCTGCAGTTGGCACATGTCCCCCAGCCAAGGTGGGCAATGTGGGGCTGCAAGGGGGCACCCACCACTCCCAGGGTCCCTTCACCTTGTCCTGCAGGGCAGCACGCAGCTCGTTCTCCAGCTGTCCCTGCTTTTCCTGAGACTGTGCCAGGGCAGCGTTGTGCTCCTCTGAGAGCTCGTTCAGGGCTTCCTGCAGCTGGACCATGTGGCTGGCGATCTCCCGCAGCTGCCAAGCAAAAATCCCCCCGGTCCAGAGGAGGGGCAGAGCGTGCCCTCGCTGCCCAGCACCCTGCCCACTCCCCACTCCCGAGAGCTGCAGCACACACGGGCACCTCAGGTCCCGGGCGCTCGCCACGTGCAGCAACCTCCACTCAGTCCCCATTCCCCCACCACAGTTCTCCTTCGAATCAGGATCTGGAGCCCAAAGCAGGCTCGGTCACTGGGTCAAAAGTCACATAAGCCAGTGGCAGAACCATCAACATCCCAGCGTCTGGCACTGCCACCAAATCCTCCCCCCGGGTCCAACCACAACCGACTGGGCTGTGGGGACACGGGGAGGACACAGTGCCCCATACCTTGAAGGAAAGATCGCCGTTCTCCTCAGAAAGCTGGTTGATCTTCCGGTCCATCTGGGCCTTTTCAGTCTTCAGGTCCTGGCACTGCCTGAAGGCCTCGTGCAGGCGCCCCACCAGGCTGTGGGAAAGGAGGTGGTTAAAGGAGGGGGTGAGCTCCCGAGGCAGGCGAGGACATCACCAGGGATCGGTGCTGCTGGATATTGCCAAGGAAACTAAAGGTTCGAAGGAATCTCTGTGCCCTGCTGCGACTCTACCAATCAACCCAGCTTTAAAAGTGAGTCCCAACGTGTGGCAAAGCAAAGATAAGCGATGTTTGTGCTTTGCAGAAGCCCAGCCACTCCAAACTGAGGGCAGAGGCAGCTGTGGGACTCCAGTCACCTCCCTGCAAAGCAAAATAAGTGAGGAAAGAACAAAAAGACATGGCACTTGCAGCACAGGTTGGGCGTCCTTCCTGAGTAAACACAGTGCTGCACAGGGACAGAGCAAAAACCAGGATGCAGTGGGGCACGTGATTTCAAGGGTGTGAAAGCCCAGTTTATAGGATAAAACTGAAGGGCTGAGGAAGGGGCTGGGATCAGGAGTTCCAGGGTCATGCTGAAAGCTTTCAGTGACGCAGAGCTTATCCCAGGGCAGGCAAGACCCATGTGGGCAGCACAGCCTTTTCCCACAGCAGGGACAGCTGTTCCCGTGCAGGGTTTGTTAAGAGTGGGCTGTCAGAACAGACTGCGTGGCTTGGGACTGGCTCCCTGCCCACTGTGATAAAAATGGGCTGCAGGCCGTGTCTGCCCCGAGGGCGAGGCACAGCATGACAGCAGCACAGCTGTGTCCTGGGCTGATCCCCAGAAGAGTGGGCAGCAGGGCAAGGGGGGGATTCTGCCCCTGTGGCACTGGCACAGCGTGTCCAGAGAAGCTGTGGCTGCCCCATCCCTAGAAGTGTTCAAGGACAGGTTGGATGAGGCTTGGAGCAACCTGGTCTAGTGGAAGGTGTCCCTGCCCGTGGCAGGGGGTGCAAGTGAATGAGCTTTAATGTCCCTTCCAACCCAAAACCTTTTTTGATTCTGTGCCTGCTGCCTTCTCCCCAGGGCACAGGAGGGAGGAACAAGAAGAAGGTTTGCCTTCTCCCATTTCATGCACTGCTAAGGAAGAGACAGACAGCATGGAGTCTGGGGACGGGGGAGTAAAAAGGTGCAGCCTAGCAGGAGGGAGCAGACGTTCCTGCAGGATTACCTCTCATTCTTCTCCCTCAGCTCCTCCATTTCTTTGGGCTCCAGCTGGTCTGCAGCTTGCTTCTCGTTGAGCTTAGCCAAGCGATCAATTCGCTGCTGCATCATGGTGATCTGAGCCTCTGAGGAAGCGGGGGGAGAAAAGGTGTTACCGACCACCCAAACCCCCCCAACAGCATTTCTGCACAGAAACCCTTTGCAGCAGGAGACAAAAGAGCCAGGCCACCAGGGCTGCTGCTGAGCACAGGTGTTGCTTCAGGCATGGCTTTTGCTGCCCAGGATACATAAAGGAATACAGAAGAGAAGAAGGAACCCGGAGTCTCACTTGGGGCCTGGCAGGATGGACCACGCACGAGCAGAATTATGGTGGGGTCAGAACAGAAAGTAAGAGAAACAAGAGGAGGGCTCAGTCCCACAAACCCCTCCCTGCACCACAGGACATCCCGCTGGAACTGACCTTTCTCCATGAGGAGCTTGCGATTCTCCGCCAGCTCCACCTCCAGCCCGTCCCGGTTCTCCCTCTCAAAAGCCAGCTGCTTCTTCAGCCGTCGCAGCTGGAACTGGGGGGTCTGCATGATGTCCCCCATGGGCGAAGATGGAGGGCTGGGCAGCATGCTGCAGAGAGGCACACCACACAGCTCGGGCACCCAGAGCCAGCGCAGGGCACGGGCCCTCCTCCCCCAGACCTGCTCTGGTTCCCCCATCTCAGGGGCAGGTTCACAGCAATGACTTTGATGCCACCTGAGCAGAAAGGCCACGCTCCTCCTCCTGACTGCACTAATGCCAACCTCCAAGTGCTGGGCAAAAACCACCACCAGCATGCCCAAGTGGCCAAAAAGCCCCAGGGCATCTTGGCTTCTGTCACCCACAGTGTGACCCAGCAGTGTCAGGGCAGTGACCATCCTCCTGTGCTGGGCACTGGTGAGGCACCTTGAACCCTGGGTTCAGATCTGGGCCCCTCTTGACAAGAAAGACACTGAGGTACTGAGTGTCCAGGGAAGGACAACAGAGCTGGGAAGGGGCTGGAGCACCAGGAGTGGCTGAGGGAGCTGGGGGGGCTCAGCCTGGAGAAAAGGAGGCTCAGGGGGGACCTTCTGGCTCTGCAACCCCCTGACAGGAGGGGGGAGCTGGGGAGGGGTCGGGCTCTGCTCCCAGGGAACAAGGGACAGGAGGAGAGGAAACAGCCTCAAGTTGCATCACGGGAAGTTTAGATTGGATACAGTGAAAATTTCTTCCCTGAAAGGGTTGTCCAGCCCTGGTACAGCTGCCCAGGGCAGTGTGGGAGTCCCCATCCCTGAAGGGATATAACAGAGGTGTGGATGTGGCACTTGGGGCATGGTTTGGTGGTGGTCTTGGCAGTGCCAGGGTAACAGCTGGACTCGATTGTCTCAGAGGGCTTTTCCAACCTTAATGATCCTGTGATTCTAAAAGGAGCTAATTAGAATCTGAGCTCACCCTTGTCATCCATCCATCCCTCCCTCCATCCCCACATCATGCCTGAGCACTGTCCAGCAGGACACCACCACGGCAGAACGGGATATTCTGTGGAGTCAACGTGCAGCCCAACTACACCTTTGGCTCCCAGAAACTGCCCCATCCATTCCCCACCCCTCTCCTCACTCCCCCTGGCAGCCAGGAGGTGGGGGACGTACTTGTTGGTGCTGGGGAAGGAGGCAATCTTCTGCAGCTCCAGGAAACGCACCTCCCGCTTGTGCGGGAGGGAATGTGGCGGGGAATGCTCCTCCATGCCGCTGCTGGACGTGCCACACGAGGATGGCGCTGCTGGAAATAAAAAGGGGGAAGCAGGCCGTGATCTTTAATACCTAAGGGGCTGAGCAGCTGAAATCCCAGGGGCACAGAAAACAAAAATTCCAGCAGGGATGGAGCAGTCCAGCTGAGGAAGCCATAAACCTTCCCTAAGTCCCCATCCCACCCGTTCCACAGTCCTGTCCCAGCACTCTGCTCCCACGAGGCTGTGGGCACACCACCCGCTTCGCTCCCCCCGGGAAAGGCTGCGGTACTGCTGAGCAGGAAGAGCCCAGCAGGTCTAAGGCAGCCCTACTGCTAAAGAAGAGTTCACAGGGGACAGTGTCGTACGCGAGGGGTTCTGGGTGGTGCTGCTCCCTTTATGGCTGGGCAGCTACAGCAGCACAAACGGGGCGAAAACTGCAGTGTTTTTATGCTCTAGAAAAGCGTGATCCCAGACAGCTGGGTGCTGCCAGTGTGGGAGCTGTACAGGAATATGTCAGCACTGCAATATCTGAAAGGTTATGCCTGGTTCTGTCCCACTCCAAGCTGCCACTTGGACATCACCACAGCAGACACCTGCTGCTCGTAAGATGCCGGTGTGCCAGGTGCCAGTGAGGAGAAAAACCACACAATGCCCACCCTGCCTGCACAAGGCTTGGCCTGTGCATGCCACAGCACGGGCAGCCAGGGCCCAGCACTCACCTTTCGTCAGCAGAAATGGCTCTAGGTTCTCATTCAGGCTCTCCTCGTTATCCAGCACAAATTTGAGGATTGATGCCAGCTCAACCTGTGTCAGAGGAGCCATGGGGTCAGCAGCTCTGCTGCAGCTCACAGGCAGCAACCACAGCAGACTTGGGGCAGCAGGCAGCTCCCTTGCCTACCCATGCCGGTGCCCACACTTGCTGCCACAAGCCTTTGACAGACCAAAAACACCGGTGAGCACTGCAGTACCCACTCCACACTGTCTTTTAAGGGGACCCAGAATAGGAGGGCAGGTCTCAGAGCACCCCCTGAAAGCCACCGCTGCTACTGCTGCACCCCAAGGGAGGGAACCCCAGAGGGATTACCTGGGTCTTGTAGTCAAACTCATTCCAGTCACCAGGGCTCTTGCAGCTCATAGAGGTGTGATACAGGAGCAGCACAGCCACCTGAGCAAGGCAGGTAAAGTGTCACTGACCCCACGCCACTCATCAGCACATTGGTGCCAGCCAGGACTAAAGTGTGCCACACAGTTACCTTGGCCAGAGCCAGCTCCTCTCCATCCACCAGCTTCTGTGCAGAGACCAGGTTCTCTGCAGCCAATTTGTGCCTGCAGTGCTCTGCAACAAGAAGCAGGATTCCCAGTCACGCAGGAGCTGCTGGGCGTGCTGCCTGCCCGTGGCATGTGGCCATCCCCCGAGGTGACACTCAGGGGCAGGGGGGCACTGTGATGCATCCCCAAGCACAAGGGGCCAAGGGCAGGCTGGGCTCTGGAGCTGAGGACCCCAGTGCTCAGCCTTGGCCGTTAATGCTGACTGGCTTTTATTATCCTCCCTGGAACTCCACTCTAAATCTCAGCCCCCCCACCTTGGCATCTCTCCCCCACCACCAGCACAGAGTCCCACCTCTGGAGGGTGGGGTACAAGGTGGGTTGTGGTGTCTCCCCCCCAGAAAAGGCTGAGCAAAAGCGTGAGGTACTTTCAGTTTCCCCTCCCAGGATTCCTGCTCGGGTAAAGGTTTTCCAGTGGGATTTGAACAGCTCGAGGCCAGGTACACAGGTAAGAAAACTGCCCCAAAGCAGCATCTCCTGAGCACCCACTGGCACCCTGCCCTTCACACCCAGGACCTCTTTTGCACTGAACCCAGGCTCTGCCAAGGATTGCCATCTGGAAGTTTCCCATCAGGAAGCTTTCCTTCCCACAGGCTGCTGCGGGAAAGCTGCTGGCATCTCACAAAGCTGCTGGTGCAGCAGCAGGGGGTCACTTTGCGGGAGGGGGAAGCTGCAGACAGGAGAGCAGACCAGACCCCTGCGGGGGTCGGGGGCACCAAGCGGGGGCAATCGCTTTCTCCCAGCGCCAGCGGAGGCTCTTACTCTGCAGGAAGCCACGGATGAAAGAGATCCTCTCCGGTAGCGGCTGCTCCAGCACGGACTCTCCCTCCTTGCTCCTGTGGCTGGAAGAGCGCAGGGGTTGCGTTAGTTCTCTCCCAAGGGATTAAACCGAGGGTGAGTTTTGTGCAACGGGGTTTGTGGAGCGAGGGGCTGGCTCGGGGCGCCGCCGTGCCCTCCGCCCCCGCGCCGGGGCTGCCGCGCTCGGGAGCCCTGACAAACAGAGCGAGCCCTGACAAACAGAGCGAGCCCTGACAAACATGGCTGCGCTGGGTGAGCAGCCGGGGCCGGGCAGCCGGGCCCCCCCGCGCCGCTTCCTCCTCTGCCTGCCAGCCCCGGCATCCGGCGCCGCACAGGGAGCGGGGCAGCCCCGCCAGCCGGGGTCGGGGGGCACGCGTGGGGCTGCTCGCTGGGTTTTGGGGAGGCTGAAGCTTCCTCCTGCTCTTATTTGAGGCTCCACTCTTCCTCAGCAGCTGCCAGCTCACAGAATATTGGAAGGGACCCACGAGGATCATCGAATCCAACTCCAGTTCAGAAACACGGTGCCCAGAACTCACACTAGCCATGCCTGACCAGCACTGCTTTGGTACTGTCAGTTACTCCCAGGGTGCCAAAAACAGGGGCCTGGCCCAGGGGAGGGGCTGCCACGAGGATTTGCTCCTGCTGACAGATTTCCCAGCCCATCCCCTGGTGCCACCGGGAGCTCGAGCTGCCGTGGTGGCTGCCCCGCTGCCACCCCACTTATCAAGCTATGGCCAGGCCTGTTTAGTGAGCACACGCCACGGGCAATTCTGGCTAATCCGAATTCAAGCACAGACCCAGGAGATTAACCATGTCCGACTAAATATATCCACGGTGGAGGCAGCTCCTTCCTCCCCACCCACCACAGGCAGATCCCTGCTCCAAGCAGGCTCTCCTTACCCCGTGCAGGAGGTAATTATAGCAGACAGGCTCCCGACAAGCCTCCCAGCGGAAGGGTTTGAAAGAAATGCATGGCAGCCTCACGCCCTCTCAATTTGCTTCACCAGCTCCTTAACCACCAGGCTCAGTCCCACCTCTGATGCCCATTATGGCCTGTAGGTTTTAGTTGCCCTTGCTCCCAGGCAACAAACGCAATTCCTGAGGGAGGCATTCCTCCCATCCCTTCTGGGCAACTCAGGTCCCAGGAGAGAGCAAACAGGCTCCACCCTGCCTGCACTGTACTCAGCAGCAACCTGACATCCACAGAAGAGAGGAGCACTTCGTGGGGCAGGAACTGTCATTCTATATGTTGCTTTCCAGATACAAGAATTCCTCAGGATCCCAAGGCTGCTGCCCAGGAAAACTTGCTGAGCTGTTCCCTCACCCGAGTAGCATCAACGGAAATGAATAATTTCCCTGTGCCACTGGCAGCACCGCTCAGCTCTTTTCTTCAGCGCCAGCAGCGAGCCCAGATGTCAGTGCCAGATGTGATAACAAGTCTCAAGTGACAGGAACTCTGACCCAAATCCTCCCTAGGCAGCTCTGTGGGGCCCGACAGCTCTGCCCAGGCAGACCCCAGTTGTGCAGTGGCACAGAGGAGACAGATCCCAGCATCAGATGTGCCAGAGGAAGAATAAACACCCCAGGACCCCTACTCCCACCCTGCCCAAGGAGAGACCCCCTCAGCTCCTGAAGGCCGAGGCCATGGCTCCAGGAGGCAGCCCAGCACCACCTGGGTGGTTTGGCACAGCTCCCTGTACTCACATTTTGTGGATAATCCTGATGAAGACACTACAGTCCCGGAGCTGGGACAGATCATTGAGGGGATCAGGACAAACCTTTGTGCTGTTCACCTGGAAACGGGGGTGAGATGGTCAGAAGGCAGAAGCCAACACCACACCATGCTGTGCCACCTACCACCTCCCAGTCCTGGCAGGGGACAGCAACAGGTCTGGGTGTGAGAGCAAACCCAGCCCTTCCAACCACTCCTGCCCTGCCCAGGGAGCAGATAAACGTGACCCCCGTGGCTCCACAGCAGGGCAGGCCAGCACGGGACTCATTTATCACACCACTGGAGCACCTCTGTTGTGGAGACAGGCTGAGAGGGCTGGGGGTATTCAGCCTGGAGAAGAGAAGGCTATGGGGAGACCTTAGAGCCCCTTCCAGTGCCCAAAGGGGCTCCAGGAGAGCTGTAGAGGGACTTTGGACAAAGGCCAGTCATGACAGCACAAGGGGGAATGGCTTCCCACTGCCAGAGTGCAGGGTTAGATGGGATATTGGGAAGGAATTCTTCCTTGTTAGGGTGGTGAGGCCCTGACACAGGTTGCTCAGAGAAGCTGTGGCTGCCCCATGCCTGGAAGTGTCCAAGGCCATGGTGGATGGGACTTGGAGCAATCTGGTCTAGTTGAAGGTGTCCCTGTGCATGGCAGGCGGTTGGAACAAGATGGTCTTTAAGATCCTTTCCAACCCAAACCATTTGGTGATTCTTTGCAAGGTCACAGCACTGCTTTGCAAGGCAGATCCAACAACCCCTCTGCAGTCCAGCTGCTGCCTGCTCCAGGCTCAGCTCCAGCTCCCAGGCAGTTTCCGTGACCAGACCACGCCATTCCGGCATTTCTGGTTACCCAACAGGAAGGGAGAGCAAGGCTTCTCCTGCAAACACCCACCTGCCCAGCTGCCCCAGCCACAATCCCTCCTGTGACCAGCCCCAGAGGAGCCACCAGTGAAGCACGTCCCACCTACAGAGCAGGCTGTGGCAGAGGAGAGGGAGGCTTACCCAAGCAAGGAGAGCCGCGGCTCTCGCGTCGTGAAGAGACATCTTGGCCAGCCTGCCAGGTCACTGCCCAGACCTAAAAACACCAGCAAAGGGGGGCGGGGAAAAAAGAAACGTAAAACATAGCAATTACATTACTATATGACCTGCACCCAGCACCAGGCATTCGTGTCCATCACGGGAGGATGTGCTGCTGAGCCTGGCCGGCTGTAGGGGAGCACCCTCCTGCTTTCCACAGGCACAGAGCAGGGAGCAGCACTGCCCAGAGCAGCCAGGTCCACTCCTACAGGTCAGTATCCTGACAAGGGGTCAGCGGAAAATCGCTGCTCAGGCTCCTTGTCCTCCAGCCACGCCTCCTTCCCTCTCCGTCACCCCCAAATGCTGCTAACGTTTCTTTTAAGAGAAATTTAAAGTCCTAGTGAGCTCCTGGCACAGGGCCTGGCAGCTTGGCAGCACTTGCTGCCCCCCCGGGGACAGTGTCCTCCCTGCTGCTGGTCACAGCTGAGCACCAGCATCTCTGCTGGCACCACCAGCATCCCAGGAAAACTCATCTCCCTCCAGAAAACACAAGCAGCAGCTTTTAGAGGATGACGGTGTGGTCCAAAGCACCAAAATCTGGCCCTGTCCACCAGGAGGGGACTGAGCTCCCACTTTGCTACTGCCCACACCTGCTCTGGCTTCCTCCCAGCTGCGTGGCCAGCCAAACCCCAGTGGCCCAGGAACAGAGGCTCTCTTGCCCCAACTGCCACCACTCCAGCTGCTGGGATCTTCAGAGGGCACCAGGCTGCCCTCTGCCCCCCGGCCGGGACACAGCCACCGGGGCTGGAAGCTACTGGCAAAGGTCACCTGGCCCCAAATAAGCCCAGCAAAGCAGTGGCCAAGCCGTTGGAGCACTGCCAGCTCCCCTGCTCACTGCTGCCAGTGAAAGGAAAACAACCTGCTGAGGGCACGGGGAGCTTCCCGGGCATCGCTGCACTCGGTGGGAGCAGGGACAAGCTGCCCCCGCCGTCCCCGGGATACAGGATCACTGCCAGGTCCCCTTTGCAGCGACCTTTGCCTCTGCACTGCCGTCCCCGGCGCCACCCCGGTAATCTTCCTGGGAAGGGAACTGCTGGGAGCCAAAAAAATCACCCAGATGGGGAGGGGGGCTCCTCGCCCTGTATTGCACCTGGACACCCCCACTGTGACGGGCCTGGATCTGCCGCCACTCCCGGGAGTGCCCAGCACAGCACGGCCACCAGCCATGGTGGCTCTGGGTGCCACGGAACTCGCACTGCCATCAGCCCAACTGGGAAGCATGGGATCATCGGCAGGACAGGTCCTCCCTCCAGTCGGGCTAAAACACGGCTCCTTGCCCCCTGGCTGGGCCCCATCGTACCTACTGTCCCTCCACCCGGGGGCACGGCCAGAACCTCTCCCCAAAAATCCACCCGAAAGCAAAGCGGGCAAAGCACACGTGCAGCCCTGGACGCAGCCTCCCACCGGAGAGGGCCGTGCTCTGCCACCGCCGAGCTGGGTTTTACTGGAGCCACTCCGCACACACCCCGGTGCCTGGCGTGAGATCAGGGCGGGCAGGGCTGCCTGCTGGCTCGCCACCGGTGGCACCGGCCACGCTGAGCACCGGAGACAACGCCACGACCCCGAGTGAGGACGTGCCACTCGTGACGGCAGGCGGGCAGCGGCCGGGCAGCAGCGCCGTGAGCGCCTCGAGGAGGGCTCGGCGCGGGGCGGCGGGAGGGCCGAGCGGCGGACTGGCGGCGTTATTGTCCTCCGCCGCTCCGGTCACAGCGCCGCGTTACGCAAGCCCGCGCCCCGCGGCCCCCGCCGCGCCAACCCGGCCGGGGGGACGCGCGGGCGGCCCCCGCCTGCCCCGGGCCGGGGCTGCGGCTGCGGGAAGCGCACGGCGGCTCTCCCGGGCGGGCCGAGGAGCCCCCGCGCGGGGCCGGGCCCAGGGCGGGCGCGGGAGGCGGCGGCGGAGGGGGGGGGGGAGCGGCCGCTCCCGCACGTCGGCGGCCCCGACCCGGCCCCCGCGACCCGCACCCCGGGACCCGCACCCCAGGGGCTGGCGGGGCGCCGGGCGGGAGCCGCGCGGTGCGGAGAGGCGGCGGAGCTGGGAGACGGCGAGCTGAGCTGCGCCTCCCCCGCGCCTCCCTCCCCCTCCTCCTCCTCGCCAGCCCCGTGGAAAACAAACAAGGAAGAGGGATAAAGTCTTTGTTGGGGCCTTACCGGGGGCGCGCGGCCGCCGTCGGCGCGCTGGGGTTAATCCGCCATGAGCGCTGGCAGCCGGGGAGGGCCGCGGAGCCAGCGGCCACGCACAAAAGAAAAGTTGTTGGGCTTCTCTCCGGCGGGGCTGGCAGGCGGCGGTTCCCCTTCCTGGCCCGGGGCCACCCCACGTCACCGCGCCGGGGCCGCGCTCGTTAAAGGCGCACGGCACACAAAGCTCCGGCGCCGCGGGAGCGGACACGGGCGGCGGGAACCGTCCGGCCCCGGCCGCGGGGAAGGGGAACCGACCGCCCCCGGCCATGGGTGTACTCACTGCCGGCACGCTGCCCGGGCCCTGGGTGACAGAGAGCCGGAGGGGCCGGCGCAGACGCGCTCCGGGCCCCAGAGCAGCTCGCAGAAAGCCCGGGCCTCAGCAGGGAATGGCCCCTGGCGCTACGTCTCCCGCTAACCTGGCTGGAGTCACATCCCAGCTGGCCCCTGAAAAATTGCCCCCGATACGCACGCACCCCGCGACCACGGATTCGACGGGAACCGGACCCGCCGGGTCCCCAGCTGGAGCTGGCCGGGGGCCGACGCTCACCCCTCGCTGCCGATCCGGAGACCCTCGGGAGCCATCCCCACAGCGCCCGGGCTACCTGAGGAAGCTCGGGCTGCAGGATGGGGCTGCCCCGAGCACGGCACAGGAAGGGCACAAGGAGAAGGTTCTTTCAAACCGGCGCTGGGGGCAGCAGAGGAACCCGCGGGGGACGCGGCCGCCGAATGCCAAGAGCTCTTTGCCAAGAGCCGGGAAACGAAAACACACAAGCCTGAGCCCCCGCGCTCCGTCCGGGTCCCCCCTTCCTTAGAGAGGGGGACCCCGCTGAGCTCGGCCGGAGGCGGAGGCTGTGCCACAGGCGGGGTCCCGCGCCTTGCACAGCCTCCCCTGCGGCCCCGAGCCCCGGCCCACGGAACCACCGGCGACCGCCCCCTCCCCGCCGTGACCTCAGCACCCCCCGTACCGTGGCCGCCGCCAGGGCCGGGGCCGTGTCCGTGTTCGGGGCCGCCGGGGTCAGGATGGGGGTCGGGGGCAGGATGCGGGTCGCGGCCGGGATGGGAGTCGGGGCCGGGATGGGAGTCGGGGTCGGGGCCGGGATGCGGGTCGGGGTCGGGGCCGGGATGGAATCGGGCCGGGATGGGGTCGGGGCCGCCGCCCCGTCCGAACGGCAGCGCTCCCCCCGCCGCTCCCCATTGGCCGCCGCCGGACGGGGCGCGTCACGTGCGCGGTCGGCCCGCGAACCGAGGGGTCCGGCGGGGGGACGGGGACACACGTGGGGCTGCGGGAAAGGGCTCCGGGGGCCACGGGACATGTGTAGGGTCGTGGGAAAGAGGCTCCCGTGAGGGTACGGTGACACACTTAGGGCCGTGGGTCTCAGGCCCCCACTCCAAAGGGGGGACACACGAGGGGCCCTGGGGTGCCCATGGAGGGGAGCGTGTGGGGCCACAGGCAGAGCAAGGAGTACGTGGAAGCCCACGGTGCATCAGGGGACACGTGGGGGACTCTGGGGATGTGTCACATGCAGGCACCCTACTCTGCTCTGCAGCACCAGCTGGGCAGGGGTCCTCACCAGCCCCCAACCATGCCCTAACCCATTAATGGGACCTTACCTTGCTTGGGGGGGTGGTCCTGGGCTTGTCCCTGTGCTCACAGCTCTATGTCATCTTGCAGAGGCCCAGAAAAGTTGACTTTAGTCACAGTGTGGATTGTGGTGGTGCCTCCACACCACGACCCAGGCCACACTATGATCTGGGAAATGCTAGTTAAGCCTCAGCCTTAATGAACAGCACCTGGGCTAAGCCTCGCTTCAGTTTATCAGAAACAGCCTGTTCCCAGGATCTAACAGGTGTCTAACAAGCATCTGTTTGTTAACAGCCTCAGAAACTTACTTTTCTTCCTGGAGTAACAACCCGAGTGGAGTAGTATTTTTGTTACTGAACCTTCAAAGAAAGTCACCAACTCAAATTGTGGCCAGGATAGAAAATTATGACGACTAAAGCCCACTCTTTAACAACCCTATAAACAAGGGTCCAAAGTGAGACCCACTGAGCTCTCGATCCCCAGAAGGGGCTAACATGTCTCAAACACTGATAACCAGATGGCTGTGGAGCCAACAAGGGACTGCTGGTAATAACAAGACAAGAATTGTTGGTAATAACCAAGGATATTAATACGCCATAAGATGTGGCTGGAGAAGGGGCCAGGTGGAGACAGGGCAGCACTTTTCTGGGACAAACATCCTTGTTGTAGCTCCTGGAGATAAGTACAACACACTACAGCACAAGCACAGGAGTGAGGCCAAGAAGTGGGAATGGACTATACAAAAGGGATTAGGACCACCAAAACCCTCCAACCCACTTCCAGAAAGGCCTAAAAGAACAGACTGTGCATGATAACTAATTTGCATAGAAAGCCAGAAAACCATCTTTAGGGCAGGGAAACCTGTCCACAAAAATGTACCCCCCAATTTCCATGCCAAATGTGTCATTTACTAATAAAACGTTCTGATTGTTTGCAGACCCTCTGACTTTTGTTGTTCCTTTTGACCATGAGCCTTTAAAAACCTTTGGTGCTTCCTTCCCCTTAAGGGTGGGTCATCACATATCCTCTACCCACGGGCATCCTCCAGGGGTTGATGGTGACAAGGGATAGTGGGATGTGTGTCCCCTCCCCACCACAGCACAGCTCCCCCTGGGCTCTCCCACCACATCCATGCCATGGCCAGCAGAGAACAGCAGAGACAGGCACTGGATGAACATGGTTTTATCTACTGTGGCCAAAAACAATAATTAAAAAAAAAAAAAAGAAAAACAAAAAGAAAAACAACAAAACAAACAACCAAACAACAAAACAACCCAAAATAAAGATCTAAACATGTAAAAATGAGCAGGGAGGGTTGTCAGAGCCACCAGGCCCCACGCAGAGCATCACATCCACCTGGCTCCAGCCCACCTGTCCTGGTGATGTGGCACACGGTGCTGACCTACACCGGGGCCTCCTTGTGCCAGTTGTTCCCTTTGTGCTCATCCCTGTGCAAGGCAGCGTCCAGGTGACACGGCCCCCTCCCCACACACACCCACCCACGAGGAGGAGAAAGCCTCGAGCAATGCAGGTGGGCTCGACGTGCCGGTGATGGGCGTCTTGGCATTTGGTAGGAAACAGGGTATCTGTCCAAGTTCTGTGGCAGCACCATGGGGAGGGAAGGGAAACAAAGAGAAAAAAATGGGAAAGAAACCCCAAAACAACCCAAAGCGGTGAAGCGGCAGTGCTGGAGGCAGGCTCAGGGGATGCCAAACTGTACAACCAGTTCTTCTTTGGCGTCGACGCGGATCTGTGAGAGCGCGCTGAAGGCGTAGGCGGCTATCCGGGACACCTGCGGGCACCAGGACACGGCTGTGTCACCGCTGGCTCCTGCAACTCCCGCTCAGCCGGAAGAAACCGTCGCGGGAGGTTAGCCCCCAGCCCTAACGAGTCCTAAACCTGTCCTGGACTTTGCCCCCCAGATCTATCGAGGCCTTAAACCTGACCTGCGCTAACAAGCTAACAAGTCGTAACAAGTCAGCTAACAAAGCAGCCCTAACAAGGCAGCACTAACAAGTCGTGCCACGGCTCTGGGCAAGTGGGGAGGGCAATGCTGCTCCTCCAGGACGGGGAACACTGCAGGCTCCCAGGGCTCACCCCGGCCCGGCTCACCTGCTGCAGGTCTGCGAAGGGGACGGGGTCGCTGGCGAGCACTTGGTGCGGTTGGTTAGTCAGAGACGGCAGCAGCGGGAGCTTCTTCCAGTGCGTCAGGTTGTTGCTGAGCATGGCCAGGCGTGTGCTGTGAGGGGGGAGCAGCATCAGCACTGTGCCAAGACACAGGGAGACCCAGGAGATGGGTGTGGCACCCCTGGGCACCCAGCACCCCCGAGGGAGAGGGAGGGAGGGAGAGCAGTGCTGCCGCGCTCCCAGCATCCAGCCCTCTTTGCTCCCCACAGCAAGAGGATGAGGGAGCTTCCAGCTCCTGCTGTGTTGGAGAGCTAGAAGCTACTGAAAGTACACCTTTCAAGCAGCAGCAGTCACATCCAGCCCACTGCTGTCTGCCCCAAGGGCCGGGTGAACACAGGAGCCCTTTGTTCTGGGCTCTGCTGCCAGCACTGCCATGGGCCTCCCCCGAGTGCTGGGAGGGCAGAGGAGAGGCGTGGAGCTGCACGCTGCTCTCCATGGCAGGGTAGCCCCACTATGTGCTGAGTTCACTCCCCTCAGGCCAAACCCCTGGGGCCCTGCCCAGGGACGTGGCTGTGAGGGACCACGGGCACCCCGAGGGAGAGGGGCAGATCCCACCTGTACTGCCTAGCTCTGTCCATGTACTCATGCTGCTCCATGCCCTGGGAATCCGCTGCCGACACGTCGATGATGTTGCTGCAGAGACACAAGAGTGGGTCCCGCTGCAGGCTCACTGCTCCCCCTGAGTTCCCTCCCCATCTCAGAGCATCCTCTGACGAGGGCAGCCAAAATCCAGCACCCTCTAGCACCCCAAAACAAACATCTCAAGGCCAAACTCACCCCATGAATGATGCCAGCTGGACATGAGTGTGCCAGGCATGGGAGCATGAGCATCCCAAAGCCCTCCCATCCAGGCTGCCCCTCTGCTTTTGGGGGGAAGCCTCCCCAGAAGGGGACACAGTGCTGGTGCCCCCCCAGCCATCCACTCTGCATCCCCATGCAGTCACTTGCTCATCCCGGTTTGGAGCAGGGGGCTACCCAGGCCCTGCACCTCCTCCCAGCCCAGCAGCCAAGGGGCACCTCACATATGGATTCTCGTCTCTGTGTCCCCAAGGAGCTCAAAGCCAAGGTGGGGGGTTGTCTACAGGCAGAGGGACGTGGGGGGCTCTGCCACAGCTCCCTCCTTCCCCTCAGCACCTCTGGTCAGTGGGACCTGCAGCCAGGCAGCTGCCCAGCTGTGTGCCCATCGTGGGGTCAGCGCAGTGCCCAGGGTGTGCTCCCCGCCCCGCGGTGCTGGCACTGGGGCGGTCGTGGCCTGGGGCTTACATGGCCGTTTTGGCGAGGATGGAGGACAACATGGCCTGCTCGTCGGTGCGTGCCGAGGGCAGGTTGTGGTAGCTCTGCTCCGCTCCATTCAGCACCTTGCTGGGAGGGCTGGCTGCCGGCTCCAGCAGCCGCTTCGTCTCTTCTTCCTGAGGGAAAGGCAAGAGGAGAATCAGCCCCGGCTCCCCCACACCAGCACTGTTCACCCCAAGGGATGAGGTGCATCTCACCCTCCACCTGCCAGGAGGGCTTCCTGTGCACCCCAGTGTAACCCGGCACAACCTCGGCTCTGCTGAGGCAATGGCGAGGCTCCTCTTCCCCAATTCCTTTGCTTTTTTTCCAGCTAAAGCCCCCATGGCCACGAAGGGACCAAGTGTGGCTGAAATCAGGCAGCGTGTGGCAGCACATCTGGAGGGGCCAATCCTGCAGGCAGGAGCCCACTGCCAGCACCGCCCTGCCCAAAACCTGGCAGCTATCAAGGACCTACAGTGGCCTCACCCCCGACCACAGAAATCCCACCAGCCTTTGGTCTCCACACCGGCACAGCCGGGGGCTCGTTGGGGCCAGGTGAACCCCACCTACCACAGCCCAGGGACAGCAGGGGTGGGGGGTTCCCAGAGTAACAGGGCACATCCCACCACTCAGTCCAGGGGTGCAGAGCTGTGGCTCAGGCCTTAATCCTCTGGCTTGGCCGAGCAGTGCCGCAGGGGCCGGGAGAAGAGCCCAGCAGAGAGACCATGGACACAAACACCCAGGAGAGCAGGATCACAGAAACATTAAAATCGGAAAAGCCCTCTGAGGCCATTGAGTCCAACGGCTCCCCCAGCACTGCCAAGACCACCACTAACCCATGTCCCAAGTGCCACATCCACATGTCTGTTAAATCCCTCCAGGGATGGGGACTCCACCCCTGCCCTGGGCAGCTGTGCCAGGGCTGGACCCCTCTTTCAGGGATATTATCGAACCTAAACCTTCCCTGGCATAACTTGAGGCCGTTTCCTCTTTTCCTGTCCCTTGTTCCCTGAGAGCAGAGCCTGATCCCGACCTGGCTCCACCCCCCTGTCAGGAAGTTTCAGAGAGCAAGAAGGTCCCTCCTGAGCCTCCTTTTCTCCAGGCTGAGCCCCCTCAGCTGCTCCTCGTCAGACTTGTGCTCCAGACCCCTCCCCAGCTCTGTTGTCCTCCTCTGGACATGCTCTGGCCCCTCACTGTCTGTCTTGTCCTGAGAGGATGCTCAGCCTGTGACCCAGGGTGAGCTGGGAATGCAACCACTCCTCCACTCCTCCAGTCAGTGACATCTCCAGCTCCTGCCTGGACAGCAGCTCCCTCTCCCCTTCCTCCAGCTGGGCCCTGCCGCTGCCATACTCTGGCCCAGGCCCCTCTCCTTCCCTCCCCGCGGGAGCACCACGGCCCAGCCGCCGGCCGGGCTGCCCTGGGGACGGGGCGGAGCTCCCTGGCAAGGCACGGGCAGAGCCCGAATCCCGCCCGGGGATTAAGTTTCGCGGGACAGGTGACAGCCCCAATTCTGCACCGGCCCAGCCGGGAAAAGCTGGCGCTGCTCCCGCCGGCGCCGGTCGAGGCCCTGGACTCGCACCGGCAGCGGGACGGGGGAACGGGACGGGGGAACGGGACGGGGGAACGGGACGGGGGAACGGGACGGGAGATGCTCCGGCACGGCCGCGGGGCACCCCGGGCGGCGCGACACACGCGAGGCACGAGTGACACGGAGGCGGCCAAAGCGGGAGGGCGCTCGGAGGCTGCTCCGGGAGCGGGGAAGGGCCGGGCCCCGCCGAGGGCACACGCCGCCGGTCCCCCCCGTTCAGGCAGC